TTCTAATTCCAATATGTAGTTTGTGGTTTTTCTATTGTAATGTTATGCTGTGAACTACCCTGGGATCTGCAGATGAAGAGTGGTGAACAAATTAAATAAATAATAATACACATGGACATTATTACTGCTGTTCAAAGGAAGTCACAGAGCCACCTATGAGCTTCTGCAATACCATTGATTAATCCAACCTTGGTCACTAGGCAACTGCCAATTGCTTGCTCCCACGAAGCTCCTAGAAGCCATGAAACACCTAGCTGGAGCCAAAGCATCAGCAAGAAAGCATGATTCCCCAAGCAAAAACAAAGAGCCAATGGAACACTGCAAAAGCCGTAAGTGTTTAACCCCAATTAATTTCTTGCCTGGCCTAGGAGAAAGCCCTGGCATGAGCTTCTGGGTCTCTTAGCTCTCCTGTGGAACCCCATTCCCTGTACCACAGCCTTTGCTTTATTAGAGTTCTTCGCAGGAAAGGTATTCTGAATTTCTAGAAACTGACTTCAGCTTTTTAGGCTCCAGGCCTGCGAAATCCCATAGGAGACAGCAACCAGCCACCCTACACCCATACGTCAAATCCTGCATGAAGGCATGCTTCCAAACCCTTTTCTGTCTTTGTCCACCAAACCCATGATTGCCTATGGACCCCACGCACCATAGTACCTGACTTCTCACCACACCCACCCACTACTACGAAGAAGTACAGGCAGCATAAAGATGGCCTTACGTCCCAGAGAAGCGAAGGGAATGTATAAGGATCTTGTCCACCTCTTCCATGATGCCAATACATCTATGGATACAGGAAACCCTGTGCAAAAGAAGAAGGATTACAACAATCAATAATCTGGATACTTATAGCAGTAGGGCTTAAGCCGGAGTACCTACAAGCAGCAAGTTCCATGACGCCATTGGGACAAATTCTTCTTCTCCTTTTTCCTCTACAACAGGTTGGAGTATTAACCCCCTCTTTCTGCAACTTTACTCCTGTTTGCCGGTTAGGCCAATCTTGTGAATAATCTCTCAAACTGTAAATTGCCTACAAATATATCTCATACATACCTGCCCCCACGTTTTACTTACTTATTTAAACAATTTGCATGCTGCTTAACTATAATAGCCTCTAAGTGGTTTTTACAATAGCGTGAAAGGGGGTAGGCACAATTGAAAGATTTTCTGCTTTAAAAGATTTCATTGTTCTATTGCCTGGAGGCAACTCTTGCCACAGGCAACCAAGTCTATAACAGAGGTGAAGACCAGAACAAAGCGCAGCTCTCCATATGAAGAGTACAAAGGACATTCCTAACCAAGGGGCCACAGAGTGCAATTTTCCCCCAAGGGTGACAAATTTTTCTGGGAAACTCACAGCCAGCCAGCCAGGCAACAGCTACCCCTTGAGATGTGGTTCAATGATTTGGGATACAGCCAGTTCAGGACAACTAACTGGGCTTAGAAGAGATGCAAATGGGCTTATAAAGGAAAATACCTTTGCTGAAACCTGGTATCCTTTTTTTTATATGTAAAGGAAAAAGAAAGTAAAGCTCTCCCACCAGCCTCACAAAACTGTTGTGGAGAACCTATATGGCCTGCCAATGTTTTAAGACCATGTAAAATAATACGGTAGGGATGTGGGTGGCGCTGTGGGTTAAACCACAGAGCCTAGGACTTGCTGATCAGAAGGTCGGCAGTTTGAATCCCCGTGATGGGGTGAGCTCCCGTTGCTTGGTCCCTCCTCCTGCCAACCTAGCAGTTCGAAAGCACGTCCAAGTGCAAATAGATAAATAGGTACCACTCTGGCGGGAAGGTAAACGGCGTTTCCGTGCACTGCTCTGGTTCGCCAGAAGCGGCTTAGTCATGCTGGCCACATGACCCAGAAGCTGTACGCTGGCTCCCTTGGCCAGTAAAGCGAGATGAGCGCCACAACCCCAGAGTCGGTCACGACTGGACCTAATGGTCAGGGGTCCCTTTACCTTTACCTAAAATAACATTTGCCTGGCACCAGCTTCGTATAATATAGGCTGGTAGTTAAAAACCTATTTTATTTCCTCAGGTTTTAATCAACACATTGTGGCTGGTTTTTTGAGCTGCTTTGAAACTGCTATTGTTACATTATGTATTGCTTTGTACTGTATTCTCTGTTTTATTGCATTTGTATGTAGTCATTTTATGCATTTTTAATAAATTTTTGAAAGGAAAAGAGCAAAGCAACAGGCACTCCTCATTGTTCCTCACTAGTACCTGCTATTCAAAGGTGTCCTGCCTCTGAAGCAGAAAGTTCCTTTTCGCTATCATGTTTCATACGCCTCTCTCAAGTTCTAGTGTTCTGAGAGAAGACGAACCTGGGAGAAGAAACACCTTTCTTGCTACACCATTCATGATTTCATAAGCCTCTCTCTTGCCTCCTTCTAGTCATATTTTTATTTCCAGACCAACGTAGATGCCATCACCCTCTTTATCAAGTCTGACCAATACTCCAAGTGTGAACTGTAAAGGAAATTAAGGCCAGGCTGGGATGGGCAAATACCACATCAGAATACCAGCAACCAAGGCTGTGGTTTGTGGCAGGACCCCCCCTATTCCAGTGGCTCTGGTTTTCTAAGGCAGGGGTAACATCACATATTGTTGGGCTACAATTCCCATCGTCCCTGACCACTGGCCATACTGGCTGGAGCTGGGAGTCCCACATGTGGAGGTCACTACAATGGGTGCCTGAAGGCATCAGGAGGATGTACAGGCCAGAGTGGGCAATGCCTGTGAACAACTTGTAATGCTGGATTACAGTACGGATGCCCTCATTCTGCTTTTCCCCTTTGGGAGGAGGAGAAGCCTATCAATGGCCACCAGCCACAATTGCTGTTATTCTGCCACCATTGTTGGAGACAATATGCCTCTAAATGCCAGTTACATATAGGGAGAATACTGCTGCACTCTGGTTGTGCAGGCTTCCCATAAGCAACCAGTTGGCCACTTTGAGAGGAGGGTGCAGGATCGGATGGGCCATTGGCCTGAACCTCCCAGGCTCTTCTGGGATTCTGCAATATACAGGACTTGGTTTGAGGAACAGCAACTGAAGGGATGACCTGTTTTTGGAACACATGGGATAACACAGAGTAAACTTTAGCTTCACAACTGTAGCCATGCGGTAAGACACACAGAAGAAGGTATGTGGGGCTGCCATTGGGCAGCAACATAGTAAACCTAGCAGTGCTGATGCTGCAGGAGAGCTTGTCACCCCGGCAGCTTCCACGGTCCCTCCAGGGCCCTGCCACCCACCCTGCTTCTCCCCTGTCAGCTGAGGGGCAAACTGCTGAA